AACCCTGCTGATAAGATACTACTCGGGTGTTGTACACTGAGAAAAAAAATTTTTCTACTACGTATACTTACTAGTGAAAAGTAATTTGTGAAAAGCAAATTAATATTTTTGCGTGAAGAAATGAAAATCTCGGCCAAATGAAATCGAAGATTCAAGATAAATAGTAGCAGATAGAAATAAGCCCAGCGGATAATTATCCAATCAAAATTCTTTCAATCAAAAGCCGACCTATTACTAGGGTCAGGATAATCTCCAAATTCTAATGGGTATCCAATTACCCGACCTTTCTGTGCGAATAAATCCCACTGATGACTATATTCCCGGCAGGCACGTAGGGTGGAGTGCGAGCCAGAATAAAATGGTCACTCCGCCAGAATTGGCAACAAATTTAACCTTCAAATTTTTAATACAAAATGGAGGGATTTAAACTTGCGGTAAAAAAATTGGAGAATATATTTCGGAAATTGTTTTTGGCAATTATTAGTTTCTTTTCAAATATTGCAACTTTAAATAGGAAAAATAAATATTTTCCACGGTGTAGCCTTCGCTACATTACCTACCCGCGGTAGTGTTTCTATATTACCTGCGGGGCCTAGATCGTACTCCCGTACGGTGGCACTGCGAATACCAGAGTGGGGAGCACTTGGGACTACGTCACACGACGCTTCTCCTACTCTGCACTGGCAGCTATATAAACGCCTACGCGAGTTCTCTGGACCAGTTCGTGCTCGGTCTTGCCTTGAGCGCAGAACTACCTGGCTAGCTATCTAGTTCCTTTTGCCTTACCTCCTAGTAATCCTACGCACTCTGTACTACCTGGACTTTCTCTCCTTTCTCAGGATTGAGAAGTGGCCATCCCACGGTACAAGACCGTGCACTCACCGCTATCGGTCCTCTTCCTCCTATACCCGGACGAAGGGACGGTTGCTCTCTGTTTGTTTCTCCCCTTTATAGGGTTGAGAAGTTAGATCTCTAAATCGCTCTCTGCGCTTTGGACGCAAGTCAAAGACGTGTCTCTCTGAGACATAATTTGTAGTGTTGGCTCTCTCGACTGACTCTACCCAGTCAGTACGCCACAACGGCTAATTCGGGAATATATTTGTCAAAACTCCATAACAGATTTTTATATTACTTTTTTAATGAAAAATCTATAAAACTATTGAATTTCTAAGAAATCCCCCTTCATTATATCACAGTGCATCATTTAAACAGTTGTTTCTTTTGAGCTTCATCATTAATCGAAAATCTGGGACACACTTGTCATTAATTAGGGGTAATTGAAGTTCTATTTTTCGCCATTCCTATCACGCATGGAAACGTAAAATTATAAAATTTTATCGATTCTTGACATAAGTTGAAATCGTACGAGTACTGTTCGTAATTTGTGCAACCCATAACAGGCTTTGATGTCTAATGGCCAGTTTATCAGCAGACATGCTGATAATCCACTGAGATACTATGCTAATAAGCTGACGAAATATGTAACAAAATTTTATCGTTACTCATAAAATAGTACCGGCAAAGTTAAAAGTAGAATTTGTGGCGACATCTAACGCTGGTTAGATCAGCCGAACAAAGATGACCAGTATATTTGACGACCTTTTGGACTACTCCGCAGATGAATGAAACCAACTACATCGTGGGAGGAAACGTGATATGGTACCATATCGATTTGCACTCGGGAAAAACGGCTACGTGAAAGGACTAACATCGATAATCCCGTCGAACTAATTGGTTGAGTAACGTAATGACCCATAGTCGCCGAGAGGTTCAGACTAGGGGAGAAGGCCCTAGGAGATCTCGAGGTAGTTAAAGCTGAGTGCTGATGGCGAGCGGATACTTTAGCAGCTTGGCACCAGTTGAAATAATCCCCTTCGGGGTTATGACGGGTACGTTGTTTCGATCTTGAATTGAAACAGCAAGCGAAAGGGACGCTTACGCGTACCCGATCAGTGAGATGAATAGCCTCGGGGCCGTGAAGCGAACGCTTTCGGCCACAGAGACTCTTCCGCAGGGTTAAACACATCGTATTGGGGTGAAGCATGTGCCTTCATGTAAAGTAGTTCTGGCCTCCACTCGAGGTCGAATTGCTTTCACTCACTAAATCGCATAGGCCTTCCGATGATTAGCACCATGCCAAGTGAGAAGGATTCGTAGTGTCTGCCGAAAATGCGAGCCGGCTCAGAAGAGAATAGAAACGTACGAGAAATGGGGACTTTCGTTCCGGACTGACTTGAGGAAGACGTTCTCCAATAGGTCCATCTGAACGACGCCACCCCTGTGGCGTAAGTCGATAACCATAGTTATGCCATACCGTGCCATGTTCATACTGGTTCAGCATTCTGTAACCCGCCATCGAGCGTCGGCGCAGTAGACAAATTTCCATGGCGACTTGTTTTTGTCAAGGAGAGGCCAATGCGCGCTCGTCCCATTTCTTTCTCAAAAACTTCTCCCGCACCTGGGGAAATGGGGGGTACCATCAGCGTGAGGGTACATTGGTGATGATGAAGATGAGGAAACATCCCTTTTGAATACATTGTTCATCATATGAAGATGCCTCCCACCATACCTCGAAAAACGTTGGATGACGAAATCTCAAAATGCCAACGGGTAATCACGCCAGAACAGTATATTGAGGGCGGTTGTTCGCCAAATAAAGTCAGTCTAAATTAAATCGTCGACTCGAAATCTTCAAGTGGTACGCTGCTCGTCATCCAGTTCAACTCTCCAGGCCCAGTCTTCCGGGGAGCAACTCTGCAGAACCACCCTCTGACGTCACCACTGGGCGGAGTCCGAGCGTATAACTCGACTCTCCTCGCAACCCCAGATCGAGTGCACAGCTTTAATCACAACCAACGAGTCGAAAGTAACATTTCGGCTCTTGGTTATTAACGAGGGGCCCTGCTAAGTGCTTGAGTGTACTGAGTGCCCTGAGTGTACTTCAAGGGAGGCAAGTCAGTCGGCCCCATTACAAATTCTGGGTTATTAACGAGGGGCCCTGCTCATTAATAAAGCTGATCCTTCAAGATCCGTCTGTTGGGAAGCAGCTCTGCAGCATCACCCACTCTCATCGCTGCTACATCGAGTGCACAGCTCGATTTTTCTGCACTGCGTCAGATCCATCGCATTCCTGCAAACCAGCACCGACCTGGTAAATCGCTCGCCGTACAACTGAGTTCATTCCGGGCGTTCAGCCACGGATATTTCTGTAAGCCAGCACCGACCTGGTGAATTACTCAGCGTACAACTGAGTCTCCCCGAGTGTCCAGCTCCGGGATCTCTCTATACCTAGCAACATAAAGCTAGGGAGCAACCAAGTTCTGCCTGAGTGGACGACTCAGGTCTATTAACACCACCAACACCTCCGGAGTCACATCATCATCATCACCAGTGCTAGAGAAGCGTGTTTGAGCAGTTCGTCGACTCCAGCAGTGCTAGAGGATCTAGCATATTTTTGGAGTCCTCCAGAATCCGCTGCGAAGAGGAAACACCAAGAGATCACCCCTTCCCTGCTGCCGTTTATTTCTACAACCGTAAGTCAGAAAAACACACCAACAACATTTACACTATTCCCTCCTACACTTTTTTCCGATCTACCCCTGGTTTTTATCTTGGACTTTCATCTATTCTGTATACCAAGTGACGCGTAATAAATTTAAATTCTATTTTAAAGGAAACCTAAGGGTATCTTTCTCTTTGTCTGTAATTCCTCATATTATAACCATTGTGTACGTCAGTACTTAGTCCCACGCAATTGGCCCCACTACGTGAGATTTATAAGATCCTTTCTCCTCCGGACACTACCTGCCGTGACTAGTTACGGACAACTCATCTGAAGGGTTCACCTTTTACCCGATATTTCGACCTGCCTAGTGACCCAGTGTTCGCTACAATTCCGCGCATGTCTAGCTCTAGCGCATGCGCCAGAAAGATTGAGGGAAGTCTGAGTTTTATTTATCGATACATTCAATTTTTATCAAAATTATTTTTCGCATTTGATTTTTAAACATTTTTCTACATTTTTTCCCTCTCCAAAAGTCAGGCGGGCAGCCCCCGCGAAGTTTGTGAGGTGGTCGAGTGGCGCACTGGTACAAGCCAGGAAAGTAGAAAGAGTGGTAAGTGTGTCGTTTAGGTCAGGAGCCGAGAAACTCAGCTCATTTGGTTCGACCGGCGCCCCAGCTTCGCTAGTGAGAGTCGGAAGAGGGGCCTCATCCACTTACGGAGTTACCTGATGTAATTGGATTATTCTGCCTGCTTGACCGTTGATTGAACTGATACCGGCAGAAAGCGACCGCGCAATCAAGCAGGAATTTTTTAATTTTCCATATATCCAAATAAATATCGATTTTTCATTCACAATAGGAGCAATAACAATAAGAAATACATAAAGAAGAAGAAGGAAAATAGGTATTTTTTTTTCGCATCGAACCAGCGAGTTCGTCAACCTCAGCAACGTCCAGTGACAACCACCTGAGTCCGAAGATTCACCAATGATAAACTCTTCTTCTTCTTCTTCTTCTTCTTGATATCCTTATGTCTTCTAGCTCCTACCACCACTTACAGGAACACCACCGTTACCCAGAATACGACAACCAAGATAGTCTGGTCTGGCTGAATACCGAATGAATACTGAACAAACCATTCAGTGCAATCAGGCCAGAATGGTTCTCAAATTCAAATCTCTCGGAATTTCAAAAAGAAGTATTGAGAGAGCCGCCCAATGGTACAGGGGCTGAAAATTGAAACGGATAGCCCTGGGGATGGAAATTGTAATTTTGGTGAAATGAAGGCGGAGCGCTGGAAGAAAACGCAGCGTCTATCCAGAAGTTATTAATATCATGCAATTGTATTCTCTTTGTAGAATGAACCTTCCGACTAGATCTTAAAATGCTACCTGCTCTCATTTTTTTTCTAAGATCATTCAACAATTCCAGTTTTTTTTTGGCGCTAATTCTAATATTGTTAGGTGTTCTCTAGGATTGTTTTTATTCATAGATTACCTTGTGCTATAAACAAGTTTTGGATTATGTGATAGTTTCAAATACTCCAACGCAGGAAGTTTCTTGAATGTATCTGCAACGAGATAATTCAATCTGCAAGTTGATAAATCCAACCATTTAAGTTTTTCACTCTGAATGTCTTGCAGCGTTTTTAGAGGATTTCCAGCCAAAGTCAATGACCTCAAATCGGGAAGTCCCAGTAGAGATGTATTCGTCATATTGGTGATTGCTAAAATTTTAATGTTTTGATTATCTATGAATCAATCCACGAATCTTATGTTTTTTGTAATAATTTCCAAGGAGATGACGAAATCAACTAAACTATTTTGAAGAGTGTCAGAAAGTTCAAGGTAATCTTTGAAGACAGCAAAGAAGATAAAGGCTGAGACGAAAGTTCCTCTTTAAAAACTATTTTTTTTCGCAGTATGCTTAAAAAATACTGTGAGTCTTACAATTAACGAGCAGTAGGGAGTTATTAATTATAAGTTGTTAACATTCTATCATTTTGAACTTATTCGAAATCCATAGAGAGTTAGAATTATCAGAACGTCCCATACCTAACTCCATCAGCATAATGGACGCCCTCAAGGATTTCTAAAAAAAAGTTAATTTCCCACCTCACTGCTCACAAAAGCTCGTGCACATCTAGCTGCCAAACATCTATTAGTATTAATAGCCGCCAGAGCTAGTCACACCAATAGCAGTCCTGCGGCAGATATGTAGGTGTCCCTTCATTCATAGATATTTTTGGCTTTCCATTATTTTTCGGTTATCCATTTTGAATGCTCATTTCCATACTTTGTTGTTTGACATGGCATGCAATTGATAGTTTGTGACGTACGCAACGCCTATGAAGAATTAACCATAAAATTCAGTCAGTACAAAATCCATAAGTGACACCAATTCGCCTCAGCTCTACCAAACACCCAACAAATTCTAGAAGTCCGACTGCTCCGGTCTGAGTAGACTCTACATATTACAAGGAGAAGGGGCTCCCTAACCCGAGGCTGGGTTACTCTTTCATTTCTGATAATGGAGCCACAATTTTTCTACTCAACGTAATGAATAATATAATTCTAGGAAAAAATTAATTTGGAAATACAAAATATGAATTACGGCTTTTCGCGGGTCCGTTCCGATACAAAACAGCAACAGAACTTGAGTCTACTTATTTCCTCCGATAATCAATAATTTACAGAAATTGCCGAATATATATCTCGAGACTAACTAATCGACGACAAAAAAATAGCAGAATTATTATTCATCAAATTGAAGGTGAATTGACTCAACTATAATTTCAAATAATCTCAATTGAAATCATTCGATTCTCTCAATTCGAAAAAACACAACAAGAGATGGCATTATGGATTCCTCAATAAAATATAATTTTCTTAGAAAATTGTCAATATTTCGGCTTCGCCCACCTGATCAGCCGCTCCATCACGTATTTCTCGAGGCAGAACAACAACGGATAGACCAAAATGCTCAAGATTCCGACTTCAATGACGAGAATGACTATTTCTCATGACAGCCTTGACTACTCTAGACCATGCATGGGCAAAGTGCGCTCAATCGGCTCACCTAGCTCCCAACCTCAATTAGGCCAATGACTATAAAATAAGGGGTCCTATTGTACCGTGCAGGTAGTTGGAGGGGCAAGACCACGATGCTTGGGTCAGAGTGGGGGAATCGTTACGTCAGTCAACGCGCAAAAATTTAAATTTTTGAACGAAAAATAGCAATATTTTTCTTGCTGCATTTTGCATTGTTAAAAAATATCAATTAATCAATTTTCCCTCTATCAACTTCCGCATAAAATTCCGTTGAATAAATTACTCTGAATTGAATATTTCCGCAGTAAATTAATTTTTAAAAAATGTTGAAAAGATTTTTAAATTTTTGTTAATACAAGATTTGTTCCAATATGAATATTGAAAGAATAAATAGATTCATACCAAAAATAGAGTTAAAAGAATCCGTTCATACAAATTATTTGAGAGAAATTTCCTTGCAGAACTTTCATGGTGAAATCATTTAGAGTTGTCTTTTTTGGCTCATATATCGGCAAAAAATAAGAAAAATAGATTAAAATGTAATGAAAAATCCCATTCGTTTTAAACCCAGAGCTTTCTGTGGGACATTTCTATAAAAAAAACTTTCAACTCCATTTTTGTTATGAATCTATTTATTCTTTGTTTGAATCTTTAGGCGGTAAGGTTTTTTAAATTTGAAAGGAAAGCGCGCCGTGCTCTCTCTGTCTAACTGCACCCCACTTCGTACACGCTGCTACTCCCACCCTGACTACGCTGGGCTCCACGCAATTGGGGTATTGTATTTCTAATAATGGGTCTAATAGGCTTTTACGGCCACGGCTCCCGAGGATCCGACTTTGCCCATGCCTGCTCTAGACGCCGACCGAGCGGCAACTCTGCTCAAACTTGAGCCGGTACGCTACACATGCTAAGTGAAGTCTTAAGGGGGGAGCAATTTTCTCCAAAATCTAGCAAAAAGTGGACTTCTTCTATTAGTGAGCTGTTCAATTTCTGTTTCTCACTCACAATTTTTAGGCTAATTACAACCAATAATAATGATAATTTGCATCATAAATCACATGACTTCAAGTCTATCAACAACTTCGACTATTATTTCCAGATTAATTCAAAATAATTTTCCATAAATTTTATATAATTTTTGTGAAACTCCAAAAAATTTTCAAAATTGAAAGTCCGACTTTTCTGTTAAATATCTAAGCAAAGGATTCTCTTCTTTCAGAAATCTCGATGCAACGTTCTCCATCACTTCTAATTCGTCACTGAATTCGGTTGATATTTTTCGAATTTATTCAGTACTCTAACGTGGTATTTTCTTTCCCTCGACCATTCGTCAGTGTTTTCGAGTTCCAGACGAAAAAACCGAAGTCAAAATTTTACCGAGTTTTTCAATTTAGTATTAACGTCTGCAGACCAGCTCGCGACGTTGAAATTGAGCTGAAAATTGTACATGCTCAATTGGGAAGTTAGCATACTTTCATCCTACATATCGTCACTTATTTCTGTTTTTTCCACATTTTAAGTCGTATGTACGTGGAAATTCGACCTACCCCTGACGTTCTTTCAACTTAGGTTGTAGGGGCAATTACCTTCCCCTCTGCCCCTTTCCGCCGTCGTCGTCACTCCCTTCCCTCCCTTCCACCGCTAGGTTTTTCCCTTCTCCGCGATTATAGTTAATAAAAAAAAATAATCGGATACAGAGCTATTGCAGAAATTTGCCAGTTTTCGTAGGATCACACATGCATTGTTTCAAAAATCTCTTCACCACTTTTTATGTATTAACCATGAACTACACAAAAAATGAGTGTACCTCTGATGAAAACCTGCGATTATTGAAGTAAAGAAGATTCTTTATTCTGATGTTCAACTTCAAAAGATATTTCTTCGAAAATACTGTAAACCAAGTCCACAAAGTGATTGTTTTAGATTAAGTTTTTCATTTTTTCAATAAACTCCAGTGAAACTTCAATTAAAATTGGAAAAATGATAACTAGCCATTTATAGCAATAACTGTGGCCTTTTCCTTCGAGCTTTTTCCAGATATGTAATCTTCCCAGAGCAACTGAACTGAGGCATTGGATTTTCGTTCAAATGGTGGAATACACGACAGTTCTATAATGTCACTGCGTTTCTCCCGAACTCAAAAAATCAAGGCATAACCTGTCGTCTTTTTGCTCGATATAATTGCTAGATTCTGGGCAATTGTCACTTGAATGGCATTTACTGGCAAGCCAAGCCGACTTCAGCCCAACAATCATCCCACGCGATTCTCAGCGTCCTTTCACGCTGCGACTTGCCGCCATTTTTTGATGAGGTACTCGCCCGATCACAAGTAAGGTTGTATTACCGACCAAGTATTATTCTGTGATTATTTTCATTCGCGTTAAATAAATTGGCGTATAATTACCTGCTTATTTCATATGAAGAATACCTTGCCATGCCACGGAAAAAATTCTCGGATCTATCAACACGAAGTCGAAGCAATTATTTAAAAACTGTTGACATGAATAGAACGCCAGACTCATGTATGATCGAAGACCTCTAACCTGTCACGTTAAGATTCTTCTCAAAGGTGGTTTTTCGAGCTTAAATTATTTGTGCATTAGATGCAATTATCTACGTCCAAAATGCCCTTCAGTCCAGCAGCCAAAACCCCCCCGTGGATTCCAATCTTACAGAAAGGGGGGTGCAATCATCCACTCATAGTAATTCCAGTTCTGACTAAGAATTCAGTCTTGTGTACCAGTTCAATCAGTTCAGTTGTCGTGTAGCAGTTCACACAGTACAGTCTTTCCGACGTTAAGTCCTGTCCTGTCTTCCAGATCAGTGCATCTGTCTCCTAAAACTCAGACGGCAAGTTCAGCCTTGTGTACCAGTTCATTCTGACTGAAACTAGAGATATTAGGGGGAAAAAAACAGCCAATGACGCTACAGCGTTGAGCAGCTGTACGTCTGTATAACTCGACGCACCGGTGTGTACGATACCCCTTCTAATGAGGAGGGGGCAAGGTATTGTTGCCCTTACAGACGGAACCGAAAGAGAGAACGAATCATTCCTCTCGCTCTTAAACAATTATTTGAAAATTTTTTTTTGAAAGTCATGCGAGATTCAAAACGATTAATTTCATTCAATATAGCGATATATGGATTGAAAAAGTGATTGAATGGATCTTTTTTTTTCCATTTTCCATTTAGATTTTCTCATTATTAAAACCATTTCCGCCAGAATGTTTATTGCTCTGCAGCTGCTTCAAGGCTGAATTATAATGATAATTTTGGGAGTTCACCTTCTCATGGCGGTTCCACGAGATGATTTTTAATTGATGGAAAAGGTTGTGTGATTTTTCCTACTTATTTGTTCTATTAAAAAGTACCCGAGTGGAAATTATGTTAGGCGAGCCTCAGGTTTGATCAGAACTTGATATGGCGATGGTTAGTATGAACTGATCAGGCCGAACTTCATAAGAACCTGATCAGTCTTTGATTTACCCAACCTGATCCCTACTACTCTGATCAAGTTCTGATATGGTGAGCTTGATCTGAATTTGTGGTTCACTCATCTGTGATCATTCTGATCAAGTTTGGATCAGGTACGCCGGCACTTACAGTGACTTCGCCCGCCTGCAACCATTCGGACCAGGTTCTGATCAGGTCAACGTGATCTGAAATTGAGCTGCCC